CCCCAACATGGTTTTATTTATCTATTTAGTGTCTTTTTACCTGCTCAGCCACCTCACTAGCCCTAATTCCACCGCACTGAAAAATGTAACCCCAACATGGCTTTATTTATTTATTTATTTATTTATTTATTTTATTTTATTTAGTCTGTGTGTTTGTATGTGGGCACAAGGGCATGCTGATGGTAGTGCGGACGTCAGAGGACAACTTTCAGAAATCAGTTTACACTGTGTGGGTTCTGGACTCAAATTTAAGTTGTCAGGTTTAGTGGCAAGCCCCTTTACCCACTGAACCATCTCAAAGACCATAATTCCTCCTTGAATGAATACAACAAAAATATCTAATTTTTTTTAAAAAAAAAATTACATTTGTCTGTTGGGGTGTGAGTGGTGGTGGATTATGCGCACATGCTGTGACACACATATGAAAGTCTGAACAACTGGAAGAAATCAGTTCTCTTTCTACGGTGTGGGTTCCGGGCTTCAGCTTGGCGGCAAGTCTGTACTGGCCCAACGGGAGTGGTGGGGTAGGGGGTGGGGGGGGGTGTAGACAAGAGGGCTCTTTACTAAAAGATGAGGGTTGTGGGTTTATTTGGAGTCTAGTTGCTTAAATATTAGAAGGACAAACGCAAAACCTTTAGGCTGAGTAGAACGGAGCCCTCCCCCTGTCACGAGGTCCGGGAAAGAGGACTGCAGCGCTTTTGGGCGCGGCTTCTGAGTTCCAGCAGTTTGAGCGCCCCAGGGGGCGTGAGTCACTCAACAGAGTGCGGAGCAAGGAGCAAAGCGCAAAGATCTCAGCTACTCCTCATCACTCTCCAGTTGGTGGCGTATCCGCGCGTCTTACGCGCAGCCCATGCTGCTTCCTTTTTTCATCGGCCCTCCCGCGGGGATACGAACAAACTTTTGGCACCTATTGCCCCCCATGTTCGCGCTTTTTATCTCGTGTTTTGAGTTGTTATTGCTGGTTCCCCCACAAAGCGTCTTGGCGCCCCCCTTTTTGTGTGGAGCCCCAAAAGACCATGACAACACTTCTGTGGACCTTCTACAGTATGGACTTAATGCGCAGGAACCAGATGTCTCTGCCCGGCTACTGCCTGAACGGCGCGCTCCACGCTAATGGAGCTCCTTCCAGCTCTAGCTTCATGCCTGGCTTCATCCCACCACCTTCATCCAGTAACCCCCAAATGTTCCAGCACCTGCCTCCCAGAGCCTTCAGCAGCTCCCCCAACTTTCCGACCGGGACTAACAGCCGCCGCCGTAATGGCCAGTTGGGGGCAACCGGCACAGCGCTCCGGGAGCCCTCAGGCGCCTACGCTGTGCGGCAGTTCCACCCAGCGAACAGACAGCATAGCCTGCAGCAGCGGCTGCCTCCGCAGCAGAAGGCGAGTAGCTCTAGCTCCACGGTCACTTCGGAGCGCTACAAGACCGAGCTGTGTCGGCCCTTTGAAGAAAGCGGCACTTGCAGGTATGGCCACAAGTGCCAGTTCGCGCATGGCTCCCGAGAGCTGCGTACCCTGTCAAGGCACCCCAAGTACAAGACGGAGCCTTGTCGCACCTTCCACAGCAGTGGCTTCTGCCCCTATGGCACTCGCTGCCACTTCATCCATAACGGGAGTGGGCGACAAATTGTGCCTTCCGAGAGCCCTTCCGAGAGCTCTTCCGGGGAGCCGTGCTCCGCCGATGACTTCAACAGGGAGTCAGAGCCGGGATCGCAGACCCCGGAGCCGGGACCGCAGACCCCGGAGCCGGGATCGCAGACCGTCAGCTCTGTCAACTCTTCGGGTTTACCATCCGGTCAAGACCAACCTCTTGAGGCGCCTCCGCTGCTCAACTACCAGAAGTTGAGCTCAGGTATGATTCTGCCTTTATCGTACCCTGCAGCCACTATCCCTGCGACGTGCTGTATCGCTGTGGCTTCGGGTTCTGTGGCTGCTTCTGCGGCTGCTATGTTCTCCCTCAGTGGTGGGGTCCCGTATAATACCTGTGCCAACAATACCCAAGTCTTTGGCCAGGGGTTGGGTGGCTACGTTGTGCCTGTGGCATTCCAGCCCCACAACTTCGCTAATGCGAATGCCACCGCCTACTGTCGGAGCCAGCAGCAGGGTCTGGTGGCTCCCACGCAATTCCCGATGCCTGCCGTGGCGCCTCCAGCCACTATCTTATCCCCGAGTGCCCTTGCCCCCATGGCTGCTGCCGTCTTAGTCACCCCTGGCACTGCCACAGCCACTACAGTTGCCCCTGCTGCAACTGTAGCTGCCAACACCACCTCTGCCACAGGTCCTGTGCCGCACTTGGGCCCCCAACCGCCAGACGCCCAGTCCGAGACACTAGAGATTGACATGCTCATCAGCAGCCTGGATTCCCTGTTGGGCACCAACAGCTTCGACAGCCTTCTGAGTTACTCTAGCTCCAGCAGCCTGAGTGGTTCTGCAGCTCCCAGAACCAATCCCAGCCGTCGTCTGCCCATCTTCAGTCGCCTCTCAGACTCTGATAAATGAGGCAAAAAAAAAAAAAAAGTGCCAGTGATGAGGGAGAGACTATACAGGGATGAGGGGGAGGGATGACAAAGCCACAGGCAGATTTGAGGGGCTCCCTGAAAGCTTGCTCTTGAACTCTATGTTGGAAGAGACCCCATCCCTCTGTTTCGGTTTTCTTGTTTGGGTTTTTTTATTATTATTATTTTCATTGTTATTAGGGAATTTAATTCTTGTTGAAAAGAAAAGGCAAGAAACTGTGTTGAGCAATGTGCAGTTGTAGCGCAGATAAAACAAATAAAAACCCATACCCTTTATTTAGGTCTCAGTTTGAGACACTATGAAAAAACATCAGCCTAGTACCATTTATTTTTTCTCTTGAAAAGTTTAGGTGCATCCCAGATGTGGGAATTTTTACCTTGAAGGGAATGACTCAATATTTGTCTCAGACAAGTGCTAGTAAGCCAGCTGGCTACCACCTTGCCATACTTTTAGAATCCATTATTTTTGCCAAGAATATGCCTTGATAGTAACCTCAGCTCCTCTGTAGTCTGTCGTTGTTTTTGTAGATTTTTGAAAACAATAAATGTCTTGGGGGTGAGAAAAGCTTGCCTTCCAAAAATTGAGAATGGCTTTATTGCCACCACTTAATGGATGAATAGCTTAAGACTATTTCATCTGCTTTCTGGAAGCCCTGGGAAGAGGTTCGTTTAAATTGTTGGAGAATAACTGCTTAGGTTTTAGGTGTTTTGAGTTGATTTGCACTGCTGTGCCACAAGTCAATATGAAGAAAACCATTTGTTTGTAGTCTTGTTAGGAGTGTATGCTGAGAGTTCTGTTCACGCTCTGATTATTTAGCTGATGAAAAGCATATATGCATTTTTTCTTATGTTATATTATGATTACCATTATTAACTGGTAAAATGTGAAGAGTATGTACTTATATCATAGTCATATATATCTTTTGTAACCTTACTTGGTAATTTTACTGGAAATAAACAAAAATAGTTTATTAAATGCATTCTTTCAAAATCTCATATGTGTGTAATGATTCTGCTTATTGTCCCCCTCCCCCTCCCTTATCTCCTCCCAACCTTGTCGGGACCCCTACACACAGGTCCCTTCCCCATGTCCATGTATTTCTGTTTTGCTTTGTGATACAGTGAGTTTAGCTAGCGTTCTCCCTGTGGTCACACATCTGATGATACTGACCCTTCCCCCTTTCTTAGACTCATTCCCGAGCTAATAGTACAGCTCAAAGAAGTAGGACCCCACAAACCCCCACCCATTAACTTAAGATATTGTACCATTTCATTAATTTCCTTCCATGTCTATATAAATGTCAAAATAACACATGATTTTAAAGAAAGTTATTTATTTGTGGGGTGAGAGTGTGTGGAGGTCAGAAGACCACAAAGATTATTTGTGAAAATACTCTCCTTCTACTACTTGGGTCTTGGGGATTGAACTCTGGTCATCAGGCTTGCCAGCAAGTGCCTTTATCCACAGTTAAATAAAGACAATAACCATTTCTGCTCCATAAGGTTCTTGTGACTACTGAATGAGACAGCCGTGTCATCTGTTTCTGCTGTGGGTGACTTGTCCAAGTAAGAATGCAAATGTGAGCTGGAGAGATGGCTCAATGGTTAAGAACACTGGCTGATTTTCCCCAATACCCTAGTTCTGTTCTCAGCATGTGTACAGTGGCTTCCAAAGGTCTGTAACTAGTTCAGGAGATCAGATGCCCTCTTTTGCCCTCCACCTTTACCTGTTGAGCCATCTCATCAGTCCTCGCTTTTCTCTTTTAATGCAGGAATTAAAAATAATTTGAGAGCTGAAACAACCTCAATAGTGAGACAGGAGCCAGGGGCCATGGGCTAGAGCTATGGATTCTGTAATCTGCCAGGGGCAGCATAGACCCTAGAGATCAGGGCACAGCTTCTGCTCTTGCCTCCTACTGAATGACTACTACTTTGAAATCTGCTACAACTATTCCTACAGAGGCCTGCAAGATTGCCTACTGATGTGACTTCACACCTTTTACCAGGAAGGCCAGAGACAGTAGTAGCTTCTCACCCCCAAGCGACTGCAAATTCATCAGGACCTGGTTGCTGGCTGGCTCTGTCTACTATAGTTAGAACATCATCCCTCTGGGGCTAAGCAACCAAGTGTGTATAAAAGCTTCACAGAGTGTAGGCTTTCAGTTCTCACCACTGGCTGTAAATACTCACGCTATTCCTCTTCATGGTGGTACTCTTAACCAGCTTGGTATTTGTCAGCTACCAAGGTGGGATGGGTATAGAGGACCCTAAGGAGATGGGGCTCTGCTTGTGAAGGCCAACATTCTTGTACTAGTCTCATTCACAGTCTCTTGGGTCATCTTTTGGTTTAAGTATCTGCCCAAAGACCTTAGCCTTGGGCTCCACAGGAAATAGGAAGTAGCAGGCATAGTCAGTGGTGGCATCTGGTAGCACTAGGGGAAAACATGTTTTGGGCAGTATACTAGGCTCTCTGCTTGGCCCAAGAGGACATCTGACTCAGCACCGTCCAGGTTCTCCTCTCTGTCCCTGCAATACAGGGATGCTTGCAATGCACACCCAGCTGGCCGAATGTCCATTACAGAAGCTTGGTCTCTCCGTGTTCATCTCTTTCCCACTTGGTTAAAGAGGGAAATAGAGGAGGCAAGGATGCTATTGGGGTGTCCCTTTCAGGACACTTCAACTTTGTCTCCCCACCCCCATCTCTACCTCAAACATGGCCATTTTGGCTATTCAGGCTAGCCAGCTTGGTCTAGGGATCTCTGTCTCAGCCTCCTGAGTCCTGAGATTACAGATGGGGCCTCAGATTACAGATGGGGCCACAATGCCCACATGACTTACATGGAGACTGGGGATCTGAACGCTAGTCTTTACACATACTCATCAGGTGCTTTGTTATTTTCCCAGGCCCTGATTCAAGATGTTAGAATGTGAAAGAAGTAATGGTTTTCAATCATTTAAATGCATATGGTAGTGTCCTAATATAAAATTGGCTGATAATTCATTCTGCCTTTGGCTACAAAGATATATATGCTTTATATTTTTTTCATTAAAATACTATGAGCCAATGGTGGTGGCAAACACCTTTAATCCCAGCACTCAGGAGGCAGAGGCAGGCAGATCTCTGAGCTCAAGACCAGCCTGGTCTACAGAGCAAGTTCCAGGACTGCTATGGCTACAAGGAGAAACCCTGTCTCAAAA